CAATGGTTGAAAAGCTGAAAGCAATTCCATTAAGATCTGGAACAAGACAAGGATGTCCACTCTCACCACTGCTTTTCAATATAATACTGGAAGTCCTAGCCAGAGCAATAAGACAAGAGAAAGACATCCAAGGAATCCAAATAGGAAAAGAAGAAGTCAAACTATCACTATTTGCAGATGATATGATAATATACATAGAGAAACCCCAAAATCTCCACAGAAAAACTAATTCAACTCATCAATCAATTCAGTAAAGTGGCAGGATACAAAATCAACACGCAAAGTCAGTAGCCTTCCTATACACAAACAATAAATCTGAAGAAGAAGAAATCAAAAAAAACCACCCCTTTTATTATCGAAACAAAAAAAAATCAAATATTTGGAATAAATCTAACAAAAGAGGTAAAGACCTATACAAAGAAAACTATAAAACACTGTTTAAAAGAAATAGAAGAAGACACAAAGAAATGGAAAGACATCCCCTGCTCATGGATTGGAAGAATAAACATTATTAAAATGGCCATCCTACCAAAAGCAATATACAGATTCAATGCTATTCCAATAAATCTCAATGGCATTCTTCAAAGAAATAGAACAATATTGAATGAAATTCATATGGACTCACCAAAAACCCCGAATAGCCAAAGCTCTACTGAAAAAAAAAGAAGGAAATGGAGGCATCACACTCCCAGACTTCAAACTATACTACAAAGCCATAATCATCAAAACTGCATGGTATTGGAACAAGAACAGACATACAGGACCAATGGAATCGAATAGAAAATCCAGAAATAAACCCACAGATTATGGTCAACTAATCTTTGACAAAGGAGCAAAGACTATGCATTGGAGCAAAGAAAGTTTGTTCAATAAATGGTGCTGGGAAAACTGGGTCGCTACATGCAAAAGAATGAAGCTTGACCACTACCTCACACCATCACAAAAATCAACTCAAATGGATTAAAGAACTAGACATAAGACCTGAAACCATAAAATACATAGAAGGAAATAGGCGAAACACTACGGGATTTTGCACATCAAAGACATCTTTACAGACACATCACCCAAAGCAGTGATAGTGAAGAGAAAGATAAACAGCTGGGACTACATCAAATTAAAGAGCTTCTGCACAGCAAAAGAGACAATAACAAAAACAAAGAGAACCCCACCAACTGGGAGAACATTTTGCACCCAACACTAATGATAAAGGACTGATCACAAAAATCTGCAAAGAACTGATGAGACTCAGCAACAACAAAGAAAATAATCCAGTCAAAAATGGGCAGAAAGAGCTAAAAAGAAACTTCTCTTGAAGAGGAAATGCAAATGGCCAACAGGCATATGAAAAAATGTTCAACATCACTTGTAATCAGGAAATGCAAATCAAAACTACCATGAGATACCATCTCACACCAGTGAGAATGGCACATATTAAAAAAACTAGCAACAACAAATGTTGGCGAGGATGTGGAGAAAAAGGAACTCTTGTGCACTGTTGGTGGGAGTGCAAACTGTCCAACCACTATGGAGAGCTGTGTGGAGATTTCTGGACCTACAAACATAGAGCTTCCATATGATCCAGCAATTCCACTCCTAGGTATTTACCCAAAGGACACAGAAACATCAATTCCAAAGAGCACCTGCACTCCTATGTTTATAGCAGCACTGTTTACAATAGCTAAGCTTTGGAAACAACCCAAATGCCAAAAATAGATGACTGGATCAAGAAGATGTGGTACATATATACCATGGAATATTACTCAGCATTCAAAAAAGATAAACACATGCAATTTGCAGCAACATGGATGGCACTGGAAGGGATCATGCTCAGCGAAATAAGCCAAAAGAGAAAAGAAAAATACCGATGGTCTCACTCATAGCAGGAATCTAGAAAACTTAATAAGGACCAGGAAATGATCTAAGAAAGTGAAAAATTCAAATCAACAAAAAACTATGAACCAGAGACACTTTTGGGGGGTGGGGCGTGGAGGGAAGGATGGGGCAGAATGGGGCGTTTGCAAATTATGGGGGAATAAAAAATAAAATTTAATATTAAAAAAAAAAAAAAACAAAAAAAGAGAATGATAATATTTGAATATAGATCTTAAATATTTATTATCAAAGAAGTATTATATTTGGGGCCTCCCTGGTGGCGCAGTGGTTGAGTGCTGCACTGTGAAGCTGTCTGCAGCCTCTGCAGTGCCGGTTCAATCCCGCTGGCTGGCAAGAATCCCACATGGCGCAGCAGACCTCTCCTGTCGCACCTGCTGCTCCCCTCAGCAGTGTATTTCTGTGATCTGCCTATTCTGTTCCCCACTGTTCCTCTCACCCTCCTGCACCTCTGGTCTGAACTCCGCTCTTGTAGAAAAATAAATAAATCTTTAAAAAAAAAAAAGTATTATAAAGGGGAAAAAAAGAAGTATTACAAAAAAGACATGACCTTTCCTGAGACATGCAGAGAGGAGCTTCAGGCTCCCATGGGCCACAGAGACAGGGACACGAGGACGGGTCTGACCTCAGACACACAAGGGCCTGAGCCAGCGAGACGCAGGAGGGAGCAGGGGAGACAGACATGTCAGGGAAATGAGAAGAAACAGTATTCAAATCAAGAGATCAATAAAAATTTTAATGATGAGAATGTTAGTATAAACCTCAGCTCTCACACACAATCAGGGGCAAAGCCACACATAACTGGTGTCTTCTCAGTCCATCATTCCCTGTGTCCTTGTAATGAGGAGTCTTGATGTGGAATTGGAAATATGTCCACGCGCCCCATAGACAGTTAGGAAAAACACCCTTCATCTAGACTAAACGTGGAAATATCACTGTGAACTCAGGAGATCTTTATCGTGAAAATTATTTACCATTAAACACACTTGCTCTACCCCTACACAGCGCACACCCCTCAAGGCTCTGGGCTCGAGGGACACATCTCTTCCCATTCAAGACATCAGGGGTTTGGAGAAACAGCTGATTTGGGGTCTGGGGCAAGGAAGCTTAGAACCCATGTGGCCACACAACTGTCCCAGAGCCAACTAGACAGCGCCCCTGGTCACGGGGGGATTTCAGCTTCATTTGGAATATTAATTTCCACGCTAGGGGAATGAAACATTTGTCTCTGCCGTTTTAAACTTCTGCATTTCCTTCATTTTCCCTCTAGGATTAAGAACATTGTTTTTAATTTCAAGGAAAAGAATGCCCTGAGAAAACAGCACTGGATTGTTGACCACCAGGTGATGGCAGCAGCACGCTGCTGGCCTGAGTCTCCCCCAAAACCTGCAAACAGTTGTGTCACAAATGCTGACTCTGCTCATTTCCCGTCCCCTTCCTCATTCCCTTGTAACTCTGCCTGAAAACAGGAGCTGGTCTTTCAGACACGAGTGTGACGCTCAATTTGTTGGCAGATTAAACTACTGTTTTCTCCTCGAACTCTGTTCCATTTTATTGACTAAGGCTACCCAAGACGGCATTCAGTACCAACCATGAACTGAAAGAAATGCTTTTGAGCCATGTGTTTATAATGGTTATAAATACAGAATCAAATCTGATAGAGCGCACCTGAGGGATGAAAGGAAACAGGCTCATTATTTTAAGAATCCATAAGAAAGTGTGTGAACAGAAGTGAGATGCCCCCTGCATGCTCCACACTGCACCAGGGTCACTGCGCGGCACATCTCCGTGAAGAGCTGTCTGGTAATAAAAGGGAAGGAGACATTGAGTGAGTCATCACATTTACAAGCCCAATGAGAATGACGGTCCAGCCCTCAGGCATCAAGGTCTGTGATGTCACAGGGAGAGAAAGCAGCCCTGACCCCTCCATGCAGGAGCCCAGCCCCCTGCAGCCTGGCTGTGGGACTGACATGAGCATGACCAAGTCTCTACATCCAGCTGCCAAATCACACATAAACGATGGACACAGGAGGACTTGAAAGGGAGGGATGCCAGCCTTATGCCCTAGAGAAAAGATTGTCCAGCCACTCAGAGTGAGTTTTTCCAGGACCTGGGTAGAGACAGGGAGGGTGGGATCTGCATAGATGGACTGTGGTGGGGTATGCAGGGGGCTCGAGGCAGAGAAAGGTGCCTGAGCATGTGGAGAGGGACAAGCCTGCCTGGGTGCCCTCTTGGTCCCAGGGCCCACCCTGCTGCATGGAGGACAGCATGACCTTGCCTGGAGCACTCCTGCCTTCCACAAAGATCCTTGGGCCAAGCCAGTTGCCAAAGGCTCAGAAACCAGGCTGAGAAATGAGGCTACAGTAAGTGGTCCTAGACTCCACCCCAGGGGCCTCCTGAGCAGGGAGGACCAGACCCAAAGGCCTCAGCTCCCTGAGAAACAGGGGCTGCTGGGGCTCTGCAGCCTGGAAAGGGAGGGACACACCGCCCCCAGGTGGGTGACAGGGACACTGCAGCCACCTCCCCCAGGTCACAGACACAGGAGCAGTCAGGGCTTCTGTACAGAGGTTTTTATTTGGGATAAGGGGCACCAGAATGAGAAGTGAAGGGCTCAGTTGTGAGCCAGGATCTCCTCAATCCAGGGCACGAATGTACTGACACGGGTGGCCACTACAGGTTTTCCAATGGGGTAGGTTTTACTACCGAAGGCCATGACGCCCACCAGGGTCCAGACTCCACTCTTCTTGCAGGCCAGGGATCCGCCAGAGTCGCCCTGTGGGAGGAGAGGGCCGTGTCCGTAAGACTGACAGCAGTAGCCGAACCCTGGTGGCCCCAGCCAGACCCTGTCATGTGGACCAGGTGAACCCTGTACTCCGGCAGCAGAAACACCATCTAATGGCAGCCCAGCTCTGCCTCTGGCTATGGAGTCGGGGGAGGTGGAGCTGGAGTAATAGTCTGTAAAAAAAGATGTAAATATCTAGCCCAGGAGGTGGTTGTGAGAGTAACTCCCCGCAGACAGCACCCCCATGGCTGGTGGAGCAAGTCCTCTGCTGGGCGTGTAAGTGCTGGTCCTGGTTCCCAGGACACAAAGCAAGGAAAGGGGTAACGAGATCTGGGGCAAGGAGTATTCTTCCAGCCTGACTGGGGAACAATCAGTGAGATTTGAGCAACACATACTTCGTGGAAGCAGGAACCTTGGAGCCCAGCGCAGATCACAGAATTCTTGATTCCGGGCCAGTACCTCCTACATGTGGCCATGGACAGGAGCGGCATGGAGGCTTGCTGCAGCTTGGCAGGTTTCTTGTTGCCTGTAGACAGAGGCCCAAGGTAGGTCTAGGTGCTCATCCTCCTAGCCCATTCAGGTAGATGGGGCCAAATCCCCAGGGCAACCATCCCAGGTCTCCCCCTCTCCTGAATATAGGAGCAGAGCCCAAGACCAGACCCCTGCACCATACAGACCACAGAAACCTCAAAGTCCTGATTCCATTCCAGGATGTTCTGGCTTTGCCCCAAGCACAGCCTGGTGTGGCTTTGCCTGCCCAGTCGGGTGTGTCCTGGGCCCTGCCAGCCCAGGAGGAGTGGACACAGAGTCAGCATCTTTCTCTCCAGAGAAGGGGCTGAAATCCTTCTGACCAGACACCCCACTCTGGGGTTTATAGGGCTCTCCACCTCTGCTGTCCCTTCCTGGCGGCTGCTGTCCGATGGAAGGACGAGCCAGGTAGCCTTGGCCCTGGGCAGGAGACTCAGGACATCAGGCAGAGCCAGCTCCGGGGAGGGGCACCGGGCTGGACTCTGAGGGCCCAGAACTGCTTTGGCTGCCCGACCCCCAGGCAATTCTGGCAGCTGCAAGCCCACTTATGCCAGGAAGGAGGGTACCAGGAAGGGCCTACAAGCTAGGACACAGCTGTGTCTTCAGAAACTCACAGCCCAAGGGATCATGGACCTTGAGTCCATGCACGTTTGCTAGGTTTTCATTAAGAGGGAGTAGTCAAGAAGCTGACGCATTGATGACAAAACCACTAAGCAGAGTCATACAAACTTCTTGTGTTCTAACAGCCCAACACCAGACTCAACTCCTGAGTGGCAAGGCCATGGTCACTCACAATTGGGCTTGGTGTCCCCCCAGCCCATAATAGTGCACAAGGTCCCAGGAAGGAACCGGTCATCAGCACTGGGCAGGAGAACCGGGGACACCATCTGGTGGAAGCGAGCAGCTCTCTCCAGCTTCAGCAGGGCGATGTCATTGTAGACGGTGTACAAGTTGAACTTGGGGTGATTAAAAATCTGTGGGTGAGGACCAGGAGGAAGAGATGAGATAAATGAATTCTGGGTGGCCCATTCAGGTACCAATGATGGGGGTGGGCAGGAGAAGCACTGAGGCCCATCTGCTACTCCTGTCTCCGTATCTAAGGGCCATTTTCTCTCCTCCAGCCTCTTCATTCTCACCTGCCTCCAGGGTTAGTTTTTCTGGGTCTGAAATACCTGCGCAATCTTCAGGATCTGGTGATTGTTTCCAGGTGAGTTTAGATCAGACTGGCCAACAACAACCCAGTCAGATGTCCTAGGGGGAGCAGGCAGGTAAGGGTTGAGGAGGAGACCACCCCCCATGTTCCCTCCCTTGTCCCTAGGAACATCCTGGGCCTCACGTGACATTGCAGTGGGCGGCGGTGATCACCCATTTCTCGCTGATGAGTGAGCCCCCACAGAAAAGGATTCCAGGGGGAGTCTGTGGAAGAAGAGACTGTCAACCCTGGCAGGACACCAGAAACAACTATCTGGGTAGCAGCCACCTCACTGTGAGGCTTGTAACCCAGTGTGACCCAAATCAGGTGCAGACTCCCCTCACCTCCAGAGACACATGCCAGGGCCAGGAACCAGGTGCAGCGTCCTCCCCATTGATGATCCTGGGTTTAATGATCAGCTCCAGTTCACTGGCAGGGGCCCCAGAGCCTGGGGACACAGCAGGAGGGTGAGAGGGTGAGGTCTAGTCAGTCTGCAGAACCCTGGTTGCACCTTCAGCCAGCACAGTGCTATGTCCACACTCTCCCCTCCTGGCACCCCTGCATCCAGACTGGAGGACACACACCCCTGCCTGCTGGCCCAGTCACCCTCCCAGGGATGCAGAGGGACAGGCAGCTCCATCCGGGTCTCCCAGCCCAGAGGTGCAGAAACAGGCTGAGGAATCAGGGTACTTGTACCCTTGCTTCTCTGCTGGAGACCTCAGCTCCCTCTGACTCTCCCAGACTCATTTCCCCACAAAATGGGGAACAATCATTGTTGCCCTCACATTCAAACTTATAAAAATGATGTTGCGTTTATGGGGTATGCAACTGAAACAGAGAACCACAGGTCACTGGAAATTCCCTTCTGACAGTTTCCTGGTGGGATGTGACTGTACCCATTTACACCGCTGGATTCTCTACCTGGAATTTCAGGAACGCGTCATTGCATAATATTGAAGTTTCTTAATTATTTAAAAAGATAGGACTTTAACACCCACCATGGAAAGACACATCAAGGAAGGAAAAAACAGAGGACGAGATTGTCCAGAACAAGGAGGACACTCAGGGCCCTTGATATGTGCAGACATGTTTGCTGGGTCAGGACACAGGATCCTCAGCAGCTCCCAGGGGTGTGAGAACTTGGCCACAGGAAGAAAGTGGGGCAGGCCCAGCCCTTCCCACCAGTCATGGCACCTCCAAAGTATCCCAGGCCTTGCTCCAGGCAGCCCCTGCCCCTAGCCCTAGGGACAGGGACATGGCCCGGCCGCTCCCTCAAGCTGGTGTCTCCAAACATGTCCTCATCTTTTCTTATCAGAACAGAAAAACCACCAGCAGTAGCTGTGAGGGGCTCACCCTGCAGAGGCTTCATAGTAATGGAGTGAGGGGCCTGGTCCCCTGTGCAGGGAGGAGCCTGAAATCTCACAGGCTTGGGGCCAGCAGGAAATACAGGGAGGAGCTTCCCCCACTGAGCCCTGGTTCTGGTTATAAACAGGGAGTGAGTGTGTGAAGCTGCACAGAAGTGACAGGCAGGGGCTCAGCAGAGGCCCCTTCCCAGGTGAGGCGGGGAGCAGGGACCTGCTGAGCCCAGTGTGGGTGTCAAAAAAAACAAAAACAAAAACAACAACTTACAGAAAACCTGGAATGCTAATAGTTGCTAAATCCTGAGCACAGTTACATGATATGATACTAGGTTTTTTTTTTCTTTTCTTTATTTTTTGTTTGTTTTCAGAAACCAAAATCTTAGCTGTCTGCCATTAGATAAATTCCCTGAGAGAAGTAATTGTGATGGTCACCTGGGACCCAAATCTGAGCCACTTTCTGGGCTCCTGCCTCTGAGCCCTACAAGCTTCTGCCCCACACCTGGCACAGCTGTGAGGGCTCAGAAAGCCCACAAGGGACGCTTTCCTCCTGCAAAGTCAGGTTACTGTCTGCGTGAAGCCATGGGACAGGAGAGGGGGTTCAAAGCCCCCCTTGAGCTGGCATTGCACTATGTTTTCATTAAGAGGTGGTTGTACAGACCCAGACACATGTGGGACACTGCTCAAGTTGGGGCAATCCCAGAAAGCACAGCCATCTGTGTCCTTCCGACTATTCTGAGTCCTGAGTGGCAAGGCCATGGTCACTCACCATGTATGTGGGTTTTCCCCCACATAAATGAGCGAAATGCCTCATCTCGTACAGAACCCCTCATTTCTCCACAAGGGGCCTGATGTGGACCCTCTGGCATCTTTTAGGCCTTCCCCTGAATTCTCCTCCCAGGCCCCACTAATGCCTCAGACTTTAGCACTCACCATAGGAGGCCCCGATGAGGATGAAGCAGGAGAGAAGCCAGAGCAAGGCCATGGTGCTGCAGTCAGGGAGGTATGGGGCTTCCTGCTCTGGGGCCCCATTTATATATCACGGAGTCCTATGTCCCACCCAGGCCCTTTGGGCCTTCCCTGACCTGAGGACTACACTCCAGTTGGTCAAAGCTGTCCTGGACTGGATCTAGCTCGGGTCACCCCAGCACCAGGGAAAAGGGCAACTGCCTGGCTCACTGACATCCATCAGCCTCGACAATTCCTGGGGGAAGCACCCAGCTGAGGGCCCCGGAGGCCCTGGGTCCATCATGGGGGTGGCAGGTGCACATCAAAGACTCATCTACAGGGAGCCTCACTCAGGTGTTCTGGGGCACCCACAGCTCAGCACCCAGGACTCAGCATCATGCACATCCAGAGCCGAGGACTTCACGGTGCTTCGCTCCCTGCTCAGGGCAACCCCCTAAGGCAAGTGAAACACACGAGGCTCAGCTCCCTTAGGAATGGGCCTCGGAACCAGCCCAGACTCAGCTCCTGAGCACACGAGGCAGGACAGTGTCTCCATGGGTGAACCTAACTCTTCCTCTCTTGAGAATTCACAAAATCATCAATTTATAATAATCAATTTATAAACTTTTGGTTTCTTTTCATGTGAATTTTTAAAAAATTATTTTTATTTATTTATGCATACAAGAACTGGTGTGTAGGTCAGAGGTGCAGGAGGTGAGATGATTCACCAGAGACAGGGTGGGGAGCAGAACAGACAGATCTACTATAATCCACTGCTGAGGGGAGCAGCGGGAGAGACAGGAGAGGTCTGCTGCAGCATGTGGGTCAGCTCCCCGGCCGGGGATTGAATTCATGCCGCAATGGCGGCCGATAGCTTGATAGTGCTGAGACTTTATCCCTGCACCAACAGGGAGGCCCTCATGGGAAGTTTGGATTCCATACCATAAATGGCCCAGTGAGGACACAGAAAGCTCAGGGCTGATGTCAGGAACACGGAGGCGAGCACAGGAAGACCAGGAGGAGGGTGAGCCCGGGAGGCACCTGCCCAGGTGGGGCCACAGGACCTCAGCCTGTCCAGACCCCCTGTGTGTCTGCTTGTGCCTTCACAATGCATTACTGCAGCCAGGAAGACTGGATAGAAGCATTGAATATTTTATTTCTCTATTTTCTGTATTTGTATATTTTGCTGCTTTGATGCCTGCCTTAGAGCTTGGCTGAGGTATTTAATTTTTTCTGTTTTTCAGGATTAAGGCTGGAATCACACTTGGACTAGCTGAAAACTCTTTGTCTAACTACCATGGAGACTTACATGCAGTTAATAGCTGGGGCCACATAATGGGCTGAGAATCCCGGAGACCTCCTGCATCAGGACAAGAAGGGCGCTGGTACTAATGATGGAAACTTAAAGTAGAAAAATTTAAGATAGAAGGACTCACAATGACTCCCACAGTAGAGGTAGGGATGATTAATGTATCTTACACGAAACCTAGCTATGGAAGTTTCCAGAGGCAGGGTCAGAAAAGTTTATCAGCCAGAGGTGGGGACAGAGAGGATAATAATCTTAGTGCACCAACACAACTCGACCCCAAGATGATAATTTCTGCAGTTCCATCAAAGAACATTAAAAGAGAATACCCCTTGCCCTGGCAAAACTCGGTTCTTGCTTTTAAAGACTGCCTTCCTGCTTGTATGCGGGTGATTCTTTCCTTTCCTCAATAAAGTTGCCATGTGCTGATGAAGGGAAATGTCTGCTCAATTCTTTCTCAGAGAGACCCAAGTACCCCACACACCAAACCTCATGATCTGAACCCCAACACCAGGATCTTAACTTCCATCTTATATTGGAAACCTCCTTGATAGAAAAGCATCCTGCAGCAAAACCTTGCTAAGGGTGCACCAGTCTAACTTAAAATGCATAGGTCATTCTTTCCCACCAAGCAGTCACTTTCTAAGAAGTAACTGAGTAACTACTTCATTTCTAAGTAGTTTTGACTGACTCATACACTCAAGGAAATAACCTTTAAATTTTAATTTCTAAGAGTTGCCCCTTGGCTTTAAGAAGGGGGGGGGCAGAAATTTTGCATTAGTGTCCTAACCCTGCATTTTCTTCATTACTTTCCTAAAGACATTTTGAATGGGTGGAAAGTTTCACCAGAATCATAATTTTAAAACAAATAATCTAATTCTTCAATTATTCCCAGCCTCAAAAACTCTTATGTATGGGATTATTGCTTCCTATGCCTGTAATTAATTAGGAATTCTAGTCCAAAGAAAAACTCAAGCTACTAGGGTGACACAAATCTCTTATATAACTAAGGTTTTGCTAAATTTAATAATGAGAATTTGTTGAATATGAAGAATCATATTTTCTAAATTATTAAGGATACTGGTTTACTTTCGGTTCTTATAGTAAGGTGCCGTGAGCAAGAAGCCTCATTTTTGGTCAATTTGTTTACACTGCATATGTTATATTTTTACATGCTCATTCCCTCCCAGAAGTGACCCCTAGTGGAATTACCAACTCCCAGAGTCTGATCTTAGAACCAGGGACTATATAAATACGTGCCTCCTTCAGGGCATGCAGAGGGCAATTGTTAAGCCATTCAGTTATGACAAACTGAGGGAAGTTTTTCAGGATCCAATAAAAATCCTGCACTGATTCAGGCTACACTTGCTGAGGCCAGGAGAAAATATGCTAATCTAGACCCTAAGACTGCAGAGGGTCAAACCATCCTAGCCATTCACTTTACTAGCCAGTTTTGCCCTGACATCAGGTGCAAGCTCCAGAAACTGGATCATGGGGCTCAGGCCCTTCCTCGACACTTTTGGACATGCCCTTCAAAGTCTACAGTAACAGGAAGGAGACCAGCCTGTCTGGAAGAAAAGGGAAGGAGAAAGGCAAGCAAAGGGCCCAATGTATGGTGGCTGCCATTGCCAGCTCCCTGTCAACTCAGACTCACCTAAGACCCCATGTAATACCAGGGCGTTAGGAATCTCAACCTCTTAAAGGGCCCCCAGCTTGCTTCCATGACCAGCAACCAGGACACGCTCCTATTAGTTCATATTTAAGCTGACAGGTAACAACTTTCCATGACAATTTTCAGATACGAGCTGGTCTTCAGTATCTGAAGAGGCCATTGCCAGGGTTGTGACTTCTACACCATCACACAGGACACTGGAGCAGGGACTGTCCCACTCTCCAAGATGGAGAATGGGCAGCCCAAACCATGGGCCTCCTGAGAAGGCAAGGAGGCCATCAGCTGCCTCTGATAATGGCCCTATGAAGAACCCAGTGTGGAAGGAGAAATTATTTATTTTATTTTTTCTAAAGATTTAATTATTTATTCATTCAAGCACTGGGTATAGTCAGAAGCGCGAGAGGGTGAGAGAATTCACCAGAGCCAGATTGGGGAACAGAACAGGCAGACGGATGAAGTACACTGCTGAGGGGAGCAGCGGGCGTCAGGAGAGGTCTGTGGGACCCTCGCACGGCAGCCGGGGATCGAACCGGCACTGCAGAGGCTGTGGGCAGCTTCGCAACCCAGCGTTCAACCGCTGCGCCATCAGGGGAGGCCCAGCAGAAATTTTTTAAAGGGGCCCAAAGGAGAGACAATTCCTCTAATGTATCTCAATGGGTGAGCCTCCAGTGATCCTAGAAGTGTCAGACAACAATGAGCTTCTTGGTGGATACAGGGCCACTTACTCTGCCTTACTCCAATTCTGTGGACTGACCAATTGGTTGACTGTCCTCACTGGAATTCATGGCCAGCCTAAGCCAGGACACCCTGCTCACTACAAGGCCACATGTTTCCACATTCATTTTCGGTCTTATCTTCCTGGTCTATCCCTCTGTTAGGACAGGACCAAACTCCAAGCCAGTCTCTGATTGCCAGTCTCCACAGCAACTATTGCCCCCTTAGGCACTGCTGTGGAAAACAGGAAGAGCACAGAAGCCCCCAGACTCACTGATTCTGCCAGTTTGGCTACCAGCACCTCCCTCCAGCTATCTGGGACACTCCAATCCCAGGCTGACCTATCTTTGCCACCCCCAATAGGGTGCAATTAAAGGATCCTCTTATCTTCCCTAGGAAGTTATAATGTCCCCTCAAGCCAAAAGAAAACCACAGTCTTTTATACAAAAATTTCTCCAGTCAGGTCTTTGAAGACTTGGCATTCCTAAGCTGGTTTCACTTCACCTCATTGACAGGCCATCACACTGCAGCTTTTGGTGGTGGAATATCACTCACCATGGGGTACCGTCATGGAGACCTAGGACAAACGATTACAGAACACCTAGATCCGGATGGTTGGGCAGCCCATTTTGGACAACCAGCACCACCAGTAGCTTGAATGCCAAGTATGCCCTTCAAAGACAGTAATTGAGAACAAAAACCCGCCAGCCTCAGTGATAGGGGCTAGGAAGAGGGTGAGCAGGGTACCTCGCCTAGCTTAGGAATCTGCACATACACACACTATTTGACCTGTGACCTGTTTGCTCTGAGCTAACTTTCCAGTCCAAGAGGTACCTGGGAGAGTGATGGAAGCCATTTCTGTCAGAGACGGAGCCATCCCAGGGATGAAGTGCTCTGCATCCAGGTGCCAGTGGAGGGGGAGCTGCCAGGGAGAGGGGCCACCAAAAAAAAACCCCAGAAGTTAACCGCCTGGAGTGAAGGCCCTTCACAGATAATTAACTGTCTTTGTTTAACTTACTGTAAAATAACCTGCTAGAGACCAGGTGTTAGATTTTCTTTGGAGCATGTGGCTAGCCATTTGAGTGTCTTGCTGATCCAACTAAAGCACATATTAAAGATTCATATCAGGTCTTTGTCTTTTGATTTCAACAATTGTGCCAAGTAGAAAGAATCCGGTATTTTCCAGCAACATCATGACTAGATGAGACTTGGGCCCTAAAACCCACTTCCCTTTCTTTAAAGAAATACTTTATTTTTTTTTAAGATTTATTTATTTATTCATACAAACACTGGGTACAGTCAGAAGCGCGGGAGGGTGAGAGAATTCACCAGAGCCAGAGTGGGGAGCAGAGCAGGCAAAGGGACCGAGGTACACTGCTGAGGGGAGCAGCGGGAGGCAGGGGGGGGTCTATGCGCCATGTGGGACCCTCCTCCGGTGGCCGGGGCGCAGCCGGGGATCGAACCGGTGCTGCAGGGGGCAGCTTCGCAACCCAGCGCTCAACCGCTGCACCACCGGGGAGGCCCCCTCCACCACATGTTTTAAAAGCAGGAAAAAGTAAGCCCAAGCTGATGAGAATATATATTATTGAGTAAATGAATATAATAAAGATTCCAGCAGAACTTGCAGCCCAGGTGCAATGAGCACGCCAATGCAGCCATAATTAACAAGTTTGCTTACTTACAGCTCTTTCCCTTTCAAGATTCACGGCCAGGGCCTCAGCGATCTCTCTGCAAGCTCAGGCAGCCGGCCAAGCTGGTCTGTCCCTCCAAGGCCATCCCTGAATGCCAGCATCTTTCCCCCTTTGCGTGGCCCCCCTTTTCTGGGGACTCTGCCACAAAATGGTTGTGCCTGCTGAAAAACGATGCGATCAAAGTAACAGATATGGAGACAGTTGTGTATCAAAGGAACCCTTGGTCTCTAAACCGGTGCTCCGACCTTACGGGGCTACCCAGGTCTGGGACCTCGCACATAATAAAGCTTTCCTGACCTCAGCATTCCTGAAGTACCTCTTGATCTTCCTCTGCCCGGGTAAAAGGCTAGAATTTCTACAACAAACCAACTGCTACCTGACACCCCCAAAAAGTAGAACCCCAGGCACCGTGCTGTCTCCGCCACCCCACACCCCTGACTGTGTGACCCCAGGCCTGCCCTATCCCCTCAGGACCTGTGAGAAATAAACTTGCCATGATGGGTCTTGCTGGTGGCGACTTAAATCCTCACAAGAGCCCCCAGGTTGGTCCAGCTGATGTCTATTTAGAGAGGTGTTGGGTTCAGAGAGCTGGGTCCTGCGGTTACCTCTAAGAATAGTTTCATCAGAGCTCCCCTTTCAGTGGCTCACAGGGAGTTTCCCTATGAGGCAGAGATGTTTAGGTCCACTCAAAAGGGCAGGGTTATTATAAAAGGGGGAGGGAAGTCAAGGACATTTTCCCAGACACAAGCGAGCAGAAAGAGCAGTCCCTGAATGGGACGGGTTTGTAGAAGAGAGGCCTGCGTGGTTACAGGTGGGCAGGAGAGCTGCTGCCATTGGCCAGCTCGGAAATTGCACTGATATAGTCTTCTTTGGAAGGGGCTCATCCCTTTGTGAGATTGTGAACTGCTGTTAAATTAATCATTTCTAGGTTTTGCACGTAAGGACTTTTCTGTATTTGGTTTGACTAGGTCAATTTGGAAGGACCAGTGATTCTTTTACAATGGCCCTCAACCCACATGTCCCCCCCTGGTCTGTGCCTCAGTCCCCACCTCAGGATACTCTACTTTCCTATAGCTAGTTTAACCAGGCTGTTTATCATTCTACCCCCACCTCCAGCTTCCCAAATTTGCTTCTCTTAACCATCACAGCTGCAGCTGGTTATGAAAGGGGCTGTGTTTTGCAACCATCCCAGGCCAGGTAGGGTCACCGTTGGTTCAGGCAACTTAAAAGAGAAACTTGGAGCCCTTGGCATCATCCCCACAGGCTTATTAACAGTATGCAGGGGAAACAGGCCAGCAGGCCGACTGCAGCTTGGTGCCTGCGAATTTCTATGTGCTTTTTCCTCTGGGCTTCCTCTTGAGACGTCGCTTGTCCTCTCATAGCCAGTCCATCATAGCCCTCCCTTCTCTGCCCTTATAGCCTCAGCCTGCATGCTCAGGTTGCCCACTTAGGCAGGCCCACACCATACTCCAGGTGTCCACCATCAGGCATGTGTGCCTCACTCCCATGCTCCCAAGCGCCTCTGCATTCAAGACTGCAGGTGATAGCCACAGAGGCCAATTGTGTAAAAGCCTGACCATCTTCATTTACCCTACAGGGTGTCTGTGGGAGACTCATGGGAGGCGCAGATGAAAGCCCAGCTAAGACAGACATGGGGCAAGAACACAGAAAAAGATGATATATTCATAAATTAAACTCTCCAAATAATTATGGATAAAGAGGAAATTAGAAGTGAAATTAGAAAAAGGTTGAAGTGAAGCACATGAAAATACCACCCCTAAAACTGGGAAGCTGCCAACTTGGGAAGGAATATAGAGGCAACAATAATTGCAAAACGTTAAAGTCCATGCCTAAGTTCATGCCTTAAAAAGCGAGATAAAGAGCAAAGAGAGACTAACAAGGACAGATGACCTATTAAAGATAGGAGCAAAAAGCCATGGGGTAAAAACCGTAACATATTTACTCCAAAATCATCCCAGATCTTGTGTACACAGGGGGCAGGAATGTGGGTTGGCAGCCAGCAGGTAAATACCCCCTGCCCACCTAAAACCTAAGGTAACACTCCCCTGCCTTCCAGCATGTTCCTTGTCCTACCTGACAGCTCTTTCCAGAGGTGGCTCAGAGACTCCTCGGCAGGTAGGGTCCTTGGCCTTGGGTGGCTGTCCAGGGATAGCACTGCCCCCTGATGGCCACAGTTGAGAGGACACTTTTCCTTAGTGGCCCTCAGGGTCCCTCCACCCAGGGGGAGGCCTGGCCTCCTCACCCTCAAGCAGGCAAGGAATTCTGACTCCAGCTCAGGGACTTTCAACGTGATCACCCACAGGAATCACCTGAGGTTAATGGAAACAGCCCTGACCTCATCTTCATTGCTCCTAATCGGTTCTTAAAGGGTTTTTGAATTCTGCTGGGTTTCCCCAGCTCCTGTGCTTTGAGGCCATAGAAGCCCCCCTTCCATCCAGGACATGAGAGGTATAGAAACTCCACGCAGGCAGGAACCTAGTGGACGGTGATAGAGGGTTACTGGGGCTTTGATGGTGGCATGGAAGGTGAGATTTATCTAAAGAGGGGTGACCCTATACCTCTGAAACATGTGCAGTGTAGGTAACCATTGCTCTCTCACTGCAATTAATTTTGCCAGAAAAAACAACAGAAGGTCTAAAGGAATAGAAAGACTTCCATTTCCACGGAGAGGAAGACTAAATATGGTTAAGCTATCAGGACAACCCAGAGTGATCTCCATCTCGAAAACAGCTCTGATCAAAGCTTGATAGTAAAAGCAACAAAACAAAAAGTCACACGGACACATCAACATTTACCATGTCTGAGTACCGCTAGGCATTGCAATGGGGGACTCATGCAAAAAACAAAAGGAAGAAAATATTTGCAAATTATTCTGATAACGGTTAAAATCCAGACTGTATAAGAACTTGAAAAATCAACAACAAAAAGAGAATGATAATATTTGAATATAGATCTTAAATATTTATTATCAAAGAAGTATTATATTTGGGGCCTCCCTGGTGGCGCAGTGTGTTGAGTGCTGCACTGTGCAGCTGTGAAGCTGTCTGCAGCCTCTGCAGTGCCGGTTCAATCCCTGCTGGCAAGAATCCCACATGGTGCGGCAGACCTCTCCTGTCGCACCTGCTGCTCCCCTCAGCAGTGTATTTCTGTGATCTGCCTATTCTGTTCCCACTACTGTCCTCTCACCCTCCTGCACCTCTGGTCTGAACTCCAGCTCTTGTAGAAAATAAATAAATCTTTAAAAAAAAAAAAAGTATTATAAAGGGGGAAAAAAGGACCCCATGACCTTTCCTGAGACATGCAGAGAGGAGCTTCAGGCTCCCATGGGCCACAGAGACAGGGACACACGAGGACGGTCTGACCTCAGACACACACAGGGCCTGAGCCAGCGAGACGCCGGAGGGAGCAGGGGAGACAGACATGTCAGGGAAATGAGAAGAAACAGTATTCAAATCAAGAGATCAATAAAAATTTTAATGATGAGAATGTTAGTATAAACCTCAGCTCTCACACACAATCAGGGGCAAAGCCACACATAACTGGTGTCTTCTCAGTCCATCATTCCCCGTGTCCTTGTAATGAGGAGTCTTGATGTGGAATTGGAAATA